ATGGCGTTGCCGGTGCCGCCTCCCGTCGGGGACGTGGGGCTCAAGACCTCGGGGATCGTGGACAGGCGCAGGCGCCGCTTCCGCTCGACTTCAGCGGCCTCGCTGTTGCCGCCGCTCGGCACCACGGCGGGCAGCGCGTCGACGGGCTTGACGCCGCCCTTCCTGCTGCTTCCGCCGTGGGCGGCGGCCTTGGCGGCCGACGTGTTGAGGTGCGCCTGCGACCGCTTGCGCCGCGCGAAGCAGACCGTCGCCGTGATCAGGAAGATGACCAGGATGATGGCGGCGACAATGGCGCCGACGATGGCCCCGGTCGGGACGGGCCTGCTTTCGCTTTCTGTGCTGTCACTGTCAGATGACAGGGTTGTGCTGTTGATTGGTTGTGCCGACGTCGTCGGCATCAGCTCGGGCGGGTAGGGAAATAGTTGGCCGAAGAGATCGCTTGTCCCGCATGCCACGTTTGTATAAGTATGACCCGGGATGTCTTCGGTGGTGTAGTAGTGTGTCATGCAAGCGGGTGAGTCGCCGGTGCTGTCGCTCTTGTGTTAGTATGGCTACCTCGATGGAGAGTATATGGTGAAATCTTTCTTCCTCTCTAAGATTCCATGATTCGACTTACCAGTACAAAACATGAGCCTCGTAAGCATTATCCAGCCCCTCCTGACACGTCGTATAAACAGTGGCGCTGCACTGATCGATGCCGCCGGCGCAGCAGCCGCGGTAGTCGCCGATGTTCATGCAATAATCGGTCGGGTTGGTACACGTAACTATACGATATAGTCAACATCAAGTTGCCCAGTATATCAGTAGTGTCATCTCTTACTTGTGTTCCCCGACGTGAAGCCACATGTGTCAGGGCCCATGACGAAATCCTCCGTGTTGAAATGGACAGGGAGCGTCGCCAGCGCCGTCATCTTGGGCGTCGCCGTGACCGGCGCGACCCTCGACGGGCTGGGCGTGCCCGTCTCGGAGGTGATCTCCCTCAACCACATGTTTCTTCTCCTTTACTTGTGGCAGAAACGGCCGCGAAAAAATAATATCGACGGGTTGGAACTCTTCGAACAAGATATCGTGTGAGGGGTGAGAATACTGTACGAAAACTGAGGGGGGTGGTGGGTTGTGAGAACAAAACAAAAAGAGAAGTGCTACGAGAACAATTCCTCCATTATTCGTTCCTGTTGATGTTCCATATCCTCGGAAAGACTGGGATAAACATTTTCTGGGTGAGGGACAGCTAACGTATGCCCCCAGCGGTCGTCCCTCCGACCCGGACGCAAAAGTGGCCGCTTTCATTGTCTCGCAAGCGGCAAAAAAGTTGCTGGCGCGTGGGACTGTCATGATTCCGAAACACATTCCAAAGATCGAGGGAGGGTCGGGCAATGACTAAGCCTCGACTCGACGGTTCTTTATTGTTCGAAACGAGGGAAGTGAGACATGCCGGATTGAACAAAGGCCCGCCGGCCGGGCAGGAGAGGGACCCGGTGGGAAAACGCACAATGGGAGAGACACGATCTGACATTTGACTGTTTTCGATATATTGTTTCAAAATCTTTTGGGGAAGCAATGGGTATGTGTTTCTTATTTGCCACGCAAGTATATACATAAAAAAAGGTTTCGAAAAGCTACTATGTGCAATTGAACAAATGACAGGGGATCGACCCTCCCACGTATTACTGACCCTCGCTTAGATGGTCTTGAAGACGGCCAAGCTCGATAGCGCGGTGCCGGGGTACTCGAACATGGTGTTGTAGGGGCACGAGGAGCCGAGGGACGAGTTGTCGACCCAGGCGGGCTCCCAGTAGAAGAGGCCGGAGCCGCCGGAGACGGCGGCGACGACGGCGGCGACCTTTTGCACGAACGTGGTCTGGCCCGCCGCGGAGAAGGGGATCGACGACAGGTCGCTGGGGAAGGCGTAGGCCGGCGACGGGCACGACGTCGGCCAGTCGGTCTCCGCGACCATGATCTCCTTGCCCCACGTGCTGGCCATGTTGGTCAGACTGGTCTTCAGACTCGCGAGCGTGGCGGCCGAGTTGCTGGTGGGCGAGGAATGTTAGCCGGTTGCAAAAGGATATACTGAGACAAAAGTGTCTCGCCGGGAATGAGAAGAAGCAGGAAAGAGAAACTTACTAGAACGGATAGTAGGAGACGCCCATGATGTCAAAGTCCGAGGTGGACAGCGGGCCCTCGGCCAGGACGCTCGTGTACCACCACTCCTGGGTGTCCCAGTTCCAGCCGTTGTCGAGGTGAATCATGATCTTGGGGGTGGTGGCCAGGTCGCTGTCCTTGACGCCATAGGCGGCCGAGTGCAGGATCTCGGCGAGGTTGTACATGTTGGAGGTGCTGCCGGTGGAGAAGAGCATGCCGGCCGTGATCTCGTTGCCGATGGACACGATCGAGGGCGAGACGCCGGCGTCGTTCATGGCGTTCATGACGTCGAGGGTGTAGTTGTACACCTCCCAGGCCAGGTTGGAGACGTCGGTGGGCCAGCCGGACGGGATGGCCTGGTGCGACGGGTCGGCCCACGTGTCCGAGTAGTGCAGGTCGAGGTAGACGTTGAGGCCGGCAGCCTTTGCGCGCTTGGCCAGGGCCACGTTGTAGTCGAGGTTGTAGTTGCCATCGGACGGGTTGACCCACACCCTCTGCCGGACGGTGTTGACGCCGCTGTCGACCAGAATCTTCTCGAGCGCCTCGGCGGTGCCGCTCGTGGTCTTGTAGGTGATGCCCGAGGCCTCCTCGACGGCGACCGAGGACCAGTCCACGCCCTTGTATGTCAAGGCTGCCTGGGTCAGCCCAGCGCAGAGACTGAGAAGTGCGGATTGAAACAACATTTTGGAAAAACAAAAGCTTGGCAAAGCACCGATTGGGGAATGAGAGACTGGCTACCAAGAGGCTGATCAGACGACAGACATGACGGGGGGCCCTTCTCCAAGATATATCGTCCGAAGTATCCCTCTGGCTGCTTAGTTCATCCCCCTATTCACTCGTGTGAACGAGTTCCTCCGGCGGCTCTGCGCCATTCCCCAGGTTCCACGATGGAAAAGGTTGCATTTAGAGTAGCAGTCCGGTCTTTCGGGCCATGTCGACGACATTTCCTCCAACGGAAGGGCGTGGAAGAGAGGAGACCGAGGATCCTTTCATCTTTAAGCCGCGCGAGTGAGTAGCCTCTGCAGGGAGGCAGAACCTTGAACAGCCGCGTGTTGGAGTGTATGGGCATCCCCCTTCGAGTGGAAGACCCCAATCAGTCTGAGACTCAAAGACACGCCGGCGTCACGTTACGCAGCGTCCCAAGGGAAGAGGCTAACCGGTTCCCGAGGAGAGTCTCCACCAGACATGAGGAGCCAAGAGGTGCCACAATAGCCGGCTGGTTGGCTGGGCTCTGCCTCGTCCTGAAAAGGCACGAACGTGTGACGGCGTCGACTATGCGCGACTACTCCTTTGAGCCTCGGTGCTGACATTTGTGGTTGTCAGCGTCGTATCGGTGGTGTAATAGTCTCTCGTCGTCCATCATTTGACTGGCTGGAGTGGCAGCCAAGATGGAACATTCGATCAACGGGAATTTCTCTGCTCGTTCTGTCGTTACACCGAACTCCCGGGATGAGTCTTGGCAGTTTCACGGACAGGGTATAAATCTGGGGCGCAGCTCGGCATTGTGATTCGTCGGCCCATGTTTCTTTCTTTGCTCGGCTCCTCTTCTTGTTATTATTAGCGTGCCTCTGTGCTGGAATGCTGAGTGCGAATTCATGCGCGGCCTGGCCCGTCCCAGATCAGATCCGGTTGTCAGTTCGTGTGCTACGATCTGACATCTGTATTGACTCGCACACGTTTTGTATTTTTGACAGCGGCTTGTGTTTCTATTGGGCAGTGAGTGAGCTTGATGTTTTTCGCAGTGGAAGCAATGGAAGGATGACATACCCACATGGCCACTCAGCCTGGCCACTTATAAAGAGCAAGTCGTGCAACCCAATTGCGAGACCTCGCCATACACCACTTTCCTTGTGAGATGCAACTCGAATGAGCGCCAACCGTGGTGGTATTCGGCTCGGAATTAGTCTCGGTGCACTTGATCCTGTACAGACAAGATTCGGGCGCTATAAAAATTGGCGCATCCTGTCCTGACCTTATATCCGAACCCGTCTCTAGTAGCAACAGGCCTTGCCGTAGTCAACTTCATGACGGAGAGTCAACAGAGGTCTTCATCTCTCAAGCAAGCGAGCTCGGCAAGGAGGTTATGCTTTGCTCTTGGGTCTTCGTGATCATCATATGCTTTGCGTACCGTGGGACTTTCGACCCAGAGTCGCGGCGACCTCATTGAGAACCAGCCAACTTGTAAAGAAGCGGTGTAATGGCTTATACTCAAATACAACATGTATAGAGGTGAATCAACCTGCGATCCGGCACCATAGACTTTGGCAGTGGCATTGCCGGGCTATTTATTGGCTGGAATATGAGGTCGAATGCAGTCGCAAAAGACTTTGCGCCGGAAGCTCTTGTACTCCCAAGACCACAAGCGAACTCTATCCAGCCGCCAGTCTCGAGTGCCGGAATGCATCCAGACATTCTGACTGGCTTGCATCGATGGTGGTGATGCTCTCCAAATCGCGCAGAAGGGTCGAACAAGTTGTCGCGAAAGCGGGATCACTAAAGCTTGGTTGAGATCAGAAGTGTTCTGCATCTCGCTGGTTAGTCTGGACTGGACTATAATCCGCGCTTATTAGTACGCCTCGTTGGATCTGGTCTGCCTTTGAGCTCTGATGTGATTGTATAGAATGTGCATCGATCATGAATTCGAGTTGTTCTTTTTTGAAGCCGGCGCTCTTAATTTGGCGTTGCGATAAAATTTCGCAAAAAGTAAGAATTAAATCTGTCGCATTGTATTGATTATGGCCTGTGTTAGTAATAATAGGATGTCATATTGATGCATCACGATGTGGTGCGCGGGGTCAGGAGAGAAAGCAATTGGAACAAAAAGAAACCAAAAAAGAAACGGTGAGACCGGATGGATTTGAACCATGCCCGATTTGAACGGACGACCTTCTGGATGTCCCGATAACTGGAATCAGATGCTCTACCGCTGAGCTAATGGTCCGGTCTTGGTTGACATAAAATGCGGTTGGAAACGACATAAGAGAGATCCGCCGAGACGAGTTCGCTAACCTTTGCTGCAGGTCCAGGTCCAGGGCCGGCCTCCTCACAATTGGAAGCCCGAGGGCCGAACCTCTCTCTGCCTCTCCGCTGCCGGTTCCCGTGGTCCTTGCTTCCGGCACCTGAAATTAATTGTGATCTCCATAAACCTGATGCCGAAAACACGTCTGGTCATTGGGCACTAACAAACTATTGTTCTGTCACCGAAAAGACTGGATCCGAGGCACTCTGTTCTGAAAACGCCCAAAGCTTGGAGTCTGAGCATCAATTGGTTCTCATGATAGCGCTCCTAGGCGCGGCATACATGGTACACCATGTAGATGCTTCAGCCTTCAGCCCGTGTTTGCGTACTTTATTTGGCTGTTCGGTCAGCTCGGCAGGTCGCGGCAGGTATCATGGTTCATCCACGAAGTAGAAGACCGCGTAAGATAAGACATCAAGTTCTGACAGCTCTTGGGTTAGATTTGCAAAGGGCCTACCCAAATGCATCGTGCGCGCATTTGGTGTAGAATGGTGGCATGTATAAAGTACGGAGTATTCTCAATCGCATCATCATCACTGCGATTCGTTGTTGTAAGCAATCAATCCATGTACAGGAAGGGATCAAGCAAGTAGTATGGTCCGTTTGGAGCAACGACCCGCCAACCCGCACAATGGGATTGTACCATTGAAAGAAGTAATAAGCAAGAAGTGACACGTAATCTGCGGGCGAGGAATGATGCTCCTCAAAAGGTTGGCCTCACCACCGCACAAGGCAGAAGATTGAATGTCCAGGAGGTCGTGAATGTCTTCAATCTCCTTTCGTGCATGTGGGCGTGCCCAGAGCGGAGACATGGGAGGCCGACGGCGGAAATTGCTGCCAAGAGAAGTTTCTTTTTCGCAGCGGTACGTGCGAAGAAAAGCCAACGGCAGCGTCTATCGGTAGCGACGGTAGGTAGCGTTGGGCGACAAGGTTCAAGTTTGCTCGAGCTAATTCGTACAGTTGGGAATGGAACCCTGGCGACCTGAAAACCCATCTCAATTGCGACGACTGTTCCACTTTCTGTCAAAAAACTTTCTCCATATGTGGGCAGATGCCAGACGGTTTATCTGAAAGCGGATGGCTCATCGGACCAAGCCGACTGATCGTTGTTGATCCGAGGTCCAATGCAGTTCCCGTTGTACAGTTAGTGTCGTGTACCGTAGGTTAAGCGGTCAACCTGCTCCTCGTTGGACTCGACGACAATCGGTTCCTCGTTCCTGGGGCCCCTGGCTACACTCGATCAAGACTTGTCCTCCTCCAACCCCAACCGAGAAGAAAAAAGCACATGGGTTGGGGTAATGTATAATTGATTGTATTTTGGCACAATATACTGTCGTTTCATATGTGTGAGAGAGTGACGAGATGAAGGTCGCACCAACTTAATAAGGTGAAATCGGGCAGTGCCAAGCTTTTCGGTCATTAAAGCCGGATCTACGAGATTGGAGCCCTCCATGTCTGAATGTGGTGGCCACCCAGGTAGCTGTGGCTAGTGAGGTTCCCATGGATGGCGAAAAAGGATCATTGCACCGAGATTTGACGGTCAAATTTTTGAAAAGAGACGTCCCAGTTCTCAGGTAAAGGTAGACAGGTAGCGCCGTTGCAGCCAGCAGCCCTCGGGGTCACAGACTTGGTTTTGGTTGACTCAATTTCGCATTCTGACCAGGATCCAAGTCCACGAGCATGGGATATGTATGCTTGTCTGTCGCACTGATAGTTTTTTGTTATTTGGCGCAATCGTGGCCGGCATTTGGAAACAGGGGAAGATCATGCTCAGGACCAGCGCGAGCACAAGCGATAACCAGAGCACAGGAGCACAAGCGCAACAGAGAGAGAAGAGAGACCTTGGAGTCTGGCGATTGATGTCTGAACGGGAGTCTCGGCAGCGCGATTGCTGCACCCCATTCGCCCACCGGCCAGTCGAGGTCGAGCTAGGTAGCTTTTGGTGCCCATACTTTGCCATGGGCTTCGTATCGAATTCGCCGCCGTGCGTGTGCGCTCGTCATGTGAACTCAGATAGGATGGATCCAGGTCTCGAAAATCATGGGCCTGCGAAGCATGCGATGATGGATGCATGTGCTTGCTGCGCCCGTCGTGCGTGTGCATCTTCCTCTCCGCATTTACGAAAGCGCTCAGCTCTGGTTTGGGTGCAATGGCACATTTCGAGTGTGAGCCAAGAGATCCATCTGTAGGCACTTAAACCTCTCGCAAGCTTGATGCCTGTCGAGGAACAGCGCCGTTGCTGAAGATGATGTCGTTGATGCTGTGAGTAGTACGCATTGGCCGTCTGTTCGGGGGGGAATGGTCAATTGTCGGTCGGCCTATTTCTTGTGTTTTCTGGAGACGTCTTGTCAATGGATTGAGAGAGAGCTCCGGCAACGAAGCTACGCTACGCTACCTAGTACCTACGCTACCAGCCCAGCGGAGGAAGGGGGAGGGAAAAAAAAACACGCCAAAAGAAGTTGAGCGAGCCGCGTATTCTGCTGAGGCACCGGCCTGTTCCTGGTCAGAATGGTGCGGGCCTCTCGTGCTATTGGTGGATGACCAGCTGTCTTATCGAGAAGGACGCCACAATTATCGAGCTGCCACTGGAGCTAGAAAAGGCACTAGCGAATTTCTGGCAACCGCAACGACTCCAACGCACTTCTGGGCGCCGGGTTCTGATTCGCCAATCGCACCTGCCGACGCACCCAGCACTGGGCAATGTTTCTCGTTGAGCTCCCACCAGCCACTAGCGACTAGGTACCATTTGAACTCTGATGGGAGACTCAGACATGAATTGATACCTACCGCTGCCTTGGAGAGGTTGGACAGCCAAAACTTTAGGTACTTTGCCTGATATGCTAGCAGGGGTCTCACAGGGTCTAGCTCAGGCTAGCAGGGTTGGGGAGAGCGGGAATGCGCAGAGGTGCGTCGGCCTGCGTCGCATCCTGGTTTGGTTCGGGGCAAGTGGTGATCGTGAGAGAGAAGAGAAGAGAGACGCCGTTGCTGTTGTCGGCGCGCGCCTGCTGGTGCTGTTGCTGCTGGCCTCCCACTGCTATGGCCTGCTGCTTTCGCTTTCGCGCATCTCCTCCCCCATCCCCGTCCCTCCCATGCAACAACATGGATGGATTTCGGCTAGATAGCTTGGGTGGTTCAAGGTAGTGTAGTATGTAGTATGGAATAATAGCGGAGGCAGGTAAAAAAAAGTGATAGTGCATATGGATGGTCTTGAAAGTAGGTCGGTACATCCAGGTGGCCCCGTTGCCCGCCGGTTTGTGGGCGGCATCGTGGTCGAGGTCGGATGTAGTAAGTACATGGGTGGGACGTCGTTTCTTTCCCTCGCGGATTTGTTTTAACCTCGCACCTGCTGCCCATGCCTTCAAATTCGTGACTCTTCCCTCCCTCCCTCTTCCTCTCGTCGTTTCCCATTTGTACGTTCCCGTTCCGCACAGTAGAGAAAAATAGAAAAAGAGTCTGAGACTTTGTTTTCATTTCAGGTGAGTGTTTGTTGGCCAGTCAGTCAAGTCACTCGGATTGTCACTTCCCTCGGTCACCTCCCGTTTCGGAAGCATATTTGGAAACAAGTCGGATTCACCATCTGCCTCTTTTCTGTCTGCTCTCTCCGCCTGCGACTCTTGTCCGATATCTCGTCTCTCCAAGCCCACCCGCAACAAACGAGCATCGTCAACTTTCCAGATCTCCAAAGCTAACCGAGTGTCGCGAATTCTAGTCCGCACTTGTCGAATCTAGCAGCAGAAGCATTTATTTGTTTGCGACAACTGTATACACTCGCCTCTTTCTGTACACTTCAGTATCACATTTCTCGCCAACATGTTCGTCACCAAGGTCGCCGTTGCCGCCCTGTCGGCTCTCACTGTTGTCTCCGCTGGCAACTCGACCTTCTCGATTGATCCCAGCTCCGTCACTCTGGCCACCAGAGGTATGTCCTTCCTCTTCTCCAAGAGCTTGCCGGCCCTCCCATGGGCATTGCCGGCAGCTCGCGAGCGAAATTTCATGTGGCTAACATGCGATTTTTTCTCTAGCTTCTTGGTGCACTTCCGAGAAGAACGTCTGCGGTCAGATCTGCAGCACCAGTGCCAACACCTGCGATGTTGTAAGTCTTGCGCCTTCACTCAAACATCGTCAACATGGCGGGATCTCCTAACAATGATCACAGGACACTCTCGACTACACCTGCACCTGTACTGATGGCTCGTCTCCCGACATGAACGAGTACTCTGACTCTATGCCCTACGTGAGTTCCACTTCCATGTCTTTTTTTGGCAAAGATCATCAGGCCCCCGGAATTCCCGCTGACCCACCATGTCTATCTAGCACATCTGCGAGACCGCCTTTGCCAACTGCATCAGCGCAAACGCTGGCGACGCCACCGGCCAGGAGAACTGCACCACCAGCATCTCGGACGAGTGCGGTACCAAGACTGCCGGCAGCACCACGACCACCAGCGCCGCTAGCTCCTCCTCTGGTACCGGAACCGCTACCGCTGCCAGCACCGCTTCCGCCTCGAGCTCGAGCTCCACGGCCGGCGCCATGCCCACCGGTATCCAGCACCTCCCCAACGGCGCCATTGTTGTCGCCGCCGGTTTCCTCGCCTATGCTGCCATGTAAAGAGTAGGAGTTTTACAACACATTTGAGGGAACGACCAAAGCCTGAAGAGCCCCCCACCCCCACGACCCGGCCTTGAAGGCCGTCGTGTTCAGGTGTGCAGCAATGTTGTTGCACGGGTGACTCGTTTGTTTTTCCTGTACCTTTTCCGGTCGCGGTCCACTATTTGCAGGATCGAGGGAACCACGCAGTACATGAGGTACACCTAATGCACGAGGAGACGATACCCGACTTTGACGATGAATTGGCATACGCGCGAAGTAGTAGAGATCAGCATGGTGTTTGGCATTTTGTTTTACATACTTTCACTTGTCAT